ACAAAATTCCTTTGAGCTCTTCTCGTTCTTTTAGATTGGCGACAAGGCCAGCCTTAAAGCTCTCCAAGTATAAAGGAGCCAGGCCAGTTTTTAGGACTCGATGGGCGATGTAGGTCACATCAGCATCCATTCGATTTTGGGCGTCGCCTATGAGGTTCACCGCGATTTTCGCCCAAAGCATTTTCTGATGAGATTTTTCAATCAGTAGATCACATCCACGCATATCCAGTCGGCGGATATTTGATTCGAAGAAAATTCGTAGAGCGTTCTCGTTCTCCGTTTTATAAGCCATACTTTCTAAGTCTGACGGTTGCCAATCATAGATCGAGCTCTTTTCAAAGTTCTCACTCAAATATCGTAGTGCATCGTAGTTGGACTCATTCTGAGAAGCAGAACTTTCTGACGATTCCTCAGTGTCCAAACTCTTTGAATCATTTCGAACTGTTATCACAACAGCAACGCTCGAAGTAAACCGCCCCAGACCTTCAATAAATTGAATAAGCGATTTCATTGTCTCTCTTGGGCATTCATCCGCAGCATCAATAAGAAGTACAGCGTTAGGAATTGCAGAAAGCCCCGCATATACAATTTCGCTCAGCAGTTTTCGAAACCTTTCCATTGAACGAGATCCGTTGATCAACAAAAATTCCTCTATGGTCGCTGATAAGTGTTTCTCTTCGCTCGGACCGATTTCGTTGCTTCGGTAGCAACAAAGCTGATATACCAAAGTTTTTAGAAAATCATCGATTGTCCGATTTTCCACATCGTCGATTTTGAAAAAGTAGAAAAAATAAACGGCTCCTTCCTTGCTTGAACGAGTTGTCAATTTCGCAGCAATACTAGATTTTCCAAATCCAGCAGTCGCTTTCAATACAAAAATTGTGCTTTTTGTCCCCTCGCTAACTTTTTGGTGGATTTCATTTACAAGCTTATCGCGCGTTTCTGGAACATATTCGTTGAGAAAACCAATGATGTCAGTAGAGTAATCTGTTGGGTTCAAAAGTGTTTTAATTCGATTCAACCTTTTGGAAAATTGAACGGTCTCTTGCAGATCAGAATGCGCTTTTGTCAAAAGGCGAGAGACTGTTTCTCGACCATCGTCCAAGTTAAAAATTTCAATAAATTCTGCGATTTGAATGAACCCATCTCGATTGGTATCAACGCTTTCGATTATAGCAGCTGTCTTTTCATCGTTGTCTGTGAACTTTTCCTGAGTATGAATTTCCAATCGCTCAAGGAATCGGTCGATCGGGACAGTTTCTCTGAACAGGGACGATCTCCAAAACCTTAGGCCGTCTTCACTGAATAAGTGTATGTATCTGGAAATATCAAATGCGAGCTGGGACGGATCAAGGAGCGTTAGTTGCTTCAAAGCGAAATCGATGGTTTGGATTTGTTTCTTGATGTCCACTTGGTTTGGATGGAGCTTACCGTGTGATATTAGACTTGAAAAAGATAAACAGGAGATAATACCAGCTTCTTCAGTTTGCCTTGCTTTCGGTGTCGGCTAATTACTTCCGTGACATCCCGTAAGGCCAAAATAGAGGAATGGCAATACGCTTGATAAGTCTTCAGGCAGTCTACGTCGTCTATGATCCAGTGGGAGTCTTCCGAGAAATAAACCTTAACTTTCATGTCTATTACGCTCTTGAGAAGCTGCGCATTCTAATGCAGCAATTTCAAACAGAGAATGACGAGTGACAGCTTGCTACCACAAACCTCCTTTAACTCCGTGATACTTGCTTCCGCTTCCTCCAAATCGTGAAAGTAGGAACAGCAGGCCGATATAACTTTGCAGGCTGCGCCAAGAAACGGAACGTATTCGCCAACCGAAGCCATGAATTGAAGGCCTTGTGTAATTTGGTTGAGGCGCTCCAATATTTTCTCGGCCGCATCTTCTTCGTCTTCTTTAAACGAATTCCACTTCTCAAGCGTGTTGTTGATAAATTCGGAAATTTTGCTAACATGTTCAACATTTTTACTCATGACCATAGTTGTCGCCTCTTCCTCAGTGCTGTTAAGTCTGCGGCTCAGAATTTGTTGAATTTCTGCAAAAGAATCATTCTTAGGCTGTGTTTTCTCTGGTTTGTTGCTGTGTTCGTCCAAAGCAGGACAAGAGAGGTGGGCCTTTTCGTACCCAGGATCCAATTCAACCCGAAATTCCACCTGAAAGCCGTGCGCGGGAATCTTCTTTAAGATATGAGACGCTTTCAATGATTTTGCAGTGGAAGGAATGTCAAAGGCTTTGCTTTTGATTTTAAGCTGAGCCAATGATTAAATTTTTTACCAAGTTCAAAAAGTTGACAAACCGATTGAACAATTTGCTTCCCTACATATTGAACAATATCAATGAAAGAGTCATTCAGCAAAACCGGCACCGATAATAAGCCGTTTTCTCGATTAGCGTCGAAAATGTGGAATATGAACTCCACGTCGGGCCCAGTGAGACGAACCTTTGGTTGCCCGTTGGTCTCTGCAACCGCGCCGAATAAGTTGAAGACCGAGAGTTTCTCCGAGAAGAAACTGACAGGCTCTTGGTCAAACAACGGGCTTGGGAGGAAGAGAAAGCAACCACGCTTCAATTTCTCGTGGACGCCGTCGTCCGTAGAGCCAGAGATAGCCACGAATGTTTCAGCCATCCTGTTCGCAGCTTCCAAGATGTCTTTGCGAAGGGAGTGGTAGAATCGCGGGCCTTTCTGTTGATGGCTGCATCCCAATTAACAACAACCTGAGTTGAGGATGGATTATACCTCTCCAGCTCCATAACGGTTGCATTATCCCACAAAACAAGTAAGCAAGCGGGTTGATCACCGCGGCTCGCAGGATCCAAGGGGTTGGTGCCAAGAGAGCGGAGAGAGCTGAAGTCAGTCGGATGCACGCGTACAGAATTAAAGAAACGGATGAGCTGAACTGCCAGAAGCGTATTGGGTGTGGTTCACGTACCCCTTAAGCTCAAAAAGCGGCTTTGAGTGCGACATAAGAGCAGTTGAATTTCTTCAATTACTCTGTGGGGTCACAATTTCGCTGTTTATCCTTATTCCCATTCAACACCACGCTCAATCATGATTTTTATCGGGTCAACCGCCTAGCTTCCCGGGATCAGAAGGTGGGGCCAAGCAGGGCGGCAGGGGCGCCGTGCGACCTCCTCACCAGCTCTGTACGCTCCCAGCTCCTCCTCACCGGTGAAACCCCGACCTCTATGCCACAACAACTTGACGGGTAACATTCCCGATTCAATAACCGAACTCAAGGGGCTTCATTATCTATCTTTGAGCCATAATTTGCTTACTGGTCGCATTCCTGAAAGCATTGGCCTCCTGGTTGAACTGAGATCCTTGGAGTTGAACGACAATGCGCTTACTGGGCCATTACCTCACACTCTTCCCGATTTAGTCAAGCTCCAACATTTTAATTGCAGTAATAATTTTCGGTCGGGAAGTATGCCACGGGGAATGCGATGCTTGAGTGGTCCAGCGCGAACAGCACTCGCAAATCGCGGCATCCGTGATGAAGGACGCCGCGCCCTACAAGCTTGAGATCGGCCAACGTGCCTGGATGTTGGAGTTTGAATGAGGAAAGAATAGCGCTGAATAAAACAAAGTTCTAACGAAGGACGAAATCTTTTTTTGGGAGAGAAGCAAATTCTGCGGCTACTAGAGAGTTTTATTAATGGGTTGCAAACATCACGCATTTTTGTCGATTCACCAGAAGTATATTTCTTGGTGATGACGCAGTTCCACGGCTCAACCGGAAGAAACAATTGAAAAAACGTATTTCGCTCGCTCGGTGTATGAGTGTGCAAAGGACGCAAAATAGACATTGTCGGTGGAGGCGTTGATTACGACGAAATTCGCCAAATTTGGATCGGCATATTGTTCGCCGGGCGGACCGGAACTGTTAGAGCAGAATTGGATGACACGCCGATGTACGCTGGCCCTGAGTCGGCGGGTTAGGGTGATGCGGTCAAGATGTACGGCCTCGACTGCCGCCCAGTTATCGCAAGTCTTTCTTGCTTTGTCTTGACCATGTTCGTGCAAAGAGCAGATGCAAACCCAACTAATGGCAGCTTGTCGGTATAGTTTACATAAGAGATGGTAAACTGTGAACAGCGGTTTTTATTTGTATCACTTCCTCGCATGCTTCTTCACATTAGCCGCAGCGTCCTTGTCGGTCAAAAGTCCAGAAAAACTTGAAATGAACGCGTTCATCACCTTTTTGTTGATCGCCGGTTAAAAAAACAAACAAACTAAAGTCAGAAATGCTGGTTGTTGAAGTTGCACCTTGTCTTCGCTTTCCTTATTTCCGTCGAAATAGCCCTTCACGACATCTTCAATCTGGCTCCAGAACTGTTTCGAGCATCCAACGCGAGCAGCAACATCCGCAAAATTGACCTTTTCAGTGACAGATTTGGTACTTGCAGCCGCAGCGGTTATCATAAGGTGCACTATAACACCTTGCTTTATGCCAAAGTCATCAAGCGTCTTGCCCGCGCCCGAGACGGCACGGCCTTTGAAAACTAAGCGGACGGTGTCGACGTCTTGCTTGAACAATGCTGCAACTTTCGCCTTGAGCGCATCGACGGCAGTGAATGGGGTGAGTCCGGCGATGGCGACGGGGGCGGCGGCGCCCTTCAGCAGCTTGACCGTGATGCCGAAGGTGGCCGCTTCGTCGAGGTCGTTGGTGGGCTTCGCGGGGCCCAGCGCAAAGGGGCGCGATGCGGCGGGCAGCGAGGGCGGATTGTCGGCGGACTCCTTCGCGTCGAATGCGTAGCGCGCGGGCCGCTTCGCGAGGCCCGCGAGACACGAGACGAGGAACTGCTGCTCCTGCGCCGTTGTTTTGCCCATTTTGTGTTCCTTTCCGCTTTCCTGTTCTGTTCCCGCCCCTTTCCTTGCCCAGTGTCGTGTGTGCGTCCATGCTCAACATCTGCGCATGCTCTACTCTGTCGCATGCAAAAGGGCAAGGAACCGTTTATGTTCCCCACGTAACGAAATTAGAAAAAATGCTCTGTACAGGGATCGAACCTGTGACCTTGGCGTTATTAGCACCACGCTCTAACCAACTGAGCTAACAGAGCAGATGAACCTGTGAATTGTTAGACATATTAAAAAATATTTTTGATGTCAATAAGTTGCTTGGCACTGGTGGTCTCAGAAGAAAGCAGTCTTTAGTTTTTGCGAGTGGATGGTCACACCATTTCTGGAGTTTTACGTGTCATTTGATGCGAAGAAGGCGTTATATTACAAAATTCCGCATTACAAAATTATCAAGGCAATAGCAGCTGTAAGGGTGAATCTCGCAGCTACAACAGCGGCAAGCCGTCTTTCATTGCTTGTACTAGTTGCTTGGGCAACGCCCCCTATGCCGTTTGAGAGACCATTGAAATTCACAGACTCATTTGGGCTGCTGGAAACTGGATATGTGTAAGGCAGGCTTGAAGTTGTTGTCGTGGGTGAAGGGAAACTGACGAACGCTGAGGAGACTTCACCAGTTGACATGTCAGTGTACGTGAATCCATCTGTGAAAGTGACGCCCATGAATGCTGAGCAGCCAATGGTGTCATGTGTTACGTCACATACGCCGCCTGGAAATATTGTTCAGTCGGCTGAGTCTAAAACAGTCAGGCAGAATAACCAGGAATCATTGTGCCAGGCTCACAAACTCGCATGCAGAATATTCCATCTCCTGCTTGTTCAACATAATTTTGAAAACCGGGGTTTCCGCTCGACGACTTGTCAACTCCCGAATATGGCTCCTTTCCGCAGCTTTCGTATGGCCCATTGTCGTATTGGCCACCATCATCGTATGCCCCAGGACTAGACTGAGTGCAATTGATGCGTAATATATCGCAGTCCATGGTTCCGTGAATTTGAATGTACATTGAGCCTTTTGTAGACAGATTTTTCAAAACATGAGCGGAGCGGATGGCATATGGAGGCATTGGTTTGGCTCCCGGAGGAATATAAGACCCCATGCAGAACGAACGAACGTAGCCTTCGGCTTGGACTATTGAAGGCAGCTTTGACACGTTGTAGAAGTTATTTTGCAAGAATATAGAATCCGGATCCGGCAGGTTGATGCAAAAGTTCTTTTTCAAACAAATGAGGTGCTGCACTCAAAAAAATAAACTGTGGATACTAACTAGCTCATCTTTAATGTACACTTGCTGTCCGGGCCTGGCGAATGCAAGGATACAGGGCTGTAATGATAAAATCAATTCAAACCTTGGGTCTCCATCGAGCGGATAGCATGGGTCAGCAGTGGTGATATGCCAGTGGGTTTGCCTGCATTCGGGAATATTTGGGTCTTGACGTGGATCAGATTTGGGCGGGAAACGCAAAAAACGCGTTGGGGTATACGCACAGCTGCCAAGACATCCCGCGGGCAATCCTGGCTGCGTCGGACCTCCGGACAAAAACTGCGCACTTGCGTGGTGCGCGACCAAAACTACGGCGGCGGCGGCGGCGGCAGCGGAAATCGTTGGCCCCATCTGGACAAAAAATTAACGTCAGGATTTGATTTGACAGTTTTCAACCGGCCGGCACATACAGCTTTCATGCCGCTCGTTGTTAACATTCACCAACGCTGTCGCGTTCATTGCGATAACATAATTTTATTCAGTGTCTGGTCGGCAATATCCGGAATTTGTACAGGTAATATGCATACGATGCGGCTTGCGATTAAAATCTGAAGATGACCAAAGGATCTCGGGCGACGGGCTCAACTTTCTTAGTCAAAAGATGAATTAGCGGGCATTGGGACACGATCTAAAATCTTGGCAAGACAATGAAGATGAAGATAACCTTGCATGGAAAGGAACGCGATGTATTTATTGAAAAAGGCCCTATTTTCACTCTCCATTCGCGGCACTCTGCATTAAGCCCTTCAGCAAAAGAGCAAGCAACGCCACCAACACTGCCACTAATCCGTACTCAACCATATCCAGCAAGGTAAGTTTCTTTACCGGTTTGTTCTTATGATCATGTGCGTTAATCCACCGGATGATTTTTGAACAAGCCTGTGACATTTGCATAAAGGATTCATCTTTTGGATTTGTGCCGACTCGTTTGGAGTTTTTACGCGCGATCTCCAAGGCGTATCTTTTAAATATGGCCTTGACACCCTCGAATGTCGTTCCTTCATATATCAGCTTCACGGCAAGCCCTCGTCTAATTTTTAAGCCTCCTTTGGTGAAAATCACAGTGTTGTTGAAGAAGAGGGAGATCGAAGCAATAGCCATGACCTGTTACCGGCACTTAAATTACAAAAGAATGGCGAAGAAGGCTTGATACCTGAGGAATGGCGCAAAAATGAATTACTGAAGGTTCTTTCAATTTCGACATATATTCCAAGCAGTCGGGGGCAAGTTCGAGGGCATTGACGCATAGCTCGTTTAAGCATGCAAGTGCGTCATTCACATTCTCCGGCTTCGCCAGTGAGCCCAGTCCGGCGTTTTCCCAGACGTATTTCCCCCAAATCTCCTCTGGCCAGAACTGCCTTCCTTCCTGCAAATCCTCAAGATAGTCCTTGATGATATTGACTTTTTGCAGAAACAAGCCCATTTGGTTTGGAAGGAATTCGTCGTTTGCCAAAGAGGGATCTTCAAGGCCAGACAAGCTGAAGAGTCCCGTGAGACCAATTCCTACCAGACCAGCGACATAATGGGTGTAGAGATCATAGTCAGCCATCGTTTTCACTTTTTTTCCTTCACAGAAGTCCGCCATTCCATTTCCCATTCTTCTCGCAATGTCCGCGATAACCTTCTGGTACCTAAGCGATAGACAATATCAACGATAGCTTGTGGAGAATGCATTCAGAACCTACCCTTCTTTCAGTTTGAGAAACTCTGCAATAACAACATCGAATTCGACCATCAGAATCCGATCCTTCTCTTGAGGACCATTTTTGTCGAAAGTCCATCCTTTCTGGTACATGATCTTGTCGAAAGACCGAAGCAACGGCAACTTAACATTGTTGTCGAGCGACATGTCATCTTCGATGGTGTCGAGGCCACGCAAAGTCAGATAGAAGATACACACTGGGTGGGCGAGCTCTGGGTGCAACTCTAAAATAACTCTTGCGAAAGAGCGACTGGTCTGGTTGAGGAAGTAATAGCACATCTGGTATGCAAACTCCGGGGAACCCGGTTTTGCAGTGACCTTATCGCGAGTAGTGTAGTCCGTGACGGCATCTGACGTGGTCAGCTTGTACTTAAGGAGAGCATACAGCTCATCTGGGTGAGCGAGCGACGCAATCAGCGCCTTTGTTGCCATTGGTCAAGGCGATAATCAATTTTTCGGTGGTGGTCACTCGCCGCTCCAACACCCAGTGCTCAACGTCGGAAACGCGGTCCGGAAGGCTCGTTCGCTACGCGCGAGCACATCAGCAAACGCCGCATGCACCGCTGCACTCTCTTCCGGTATCGTGTCCTCATCTCCGCCTTTCCATGCTATATCGTCAAACAGGTAAGCCGTATCCCCACGCCTCATCCTGTCCGTGCGATACTCCACATACTGCATAACTTTCTCGCGCTGCGTGAGATCTTCGCCAGTCGTTGCGTGCAAATACAACATGGCAGCTGTGATATTATCCAGTTGCTGACATATTTGAGAGGCTTGATTCGAAGCTGTTCCTCGCAGGAAGCACTCCAGAATATTTATCCCAAAATCGCATGTTTCTCGCTCAAAAAGACTGACAAAGATGAAGGGAGAAAGTTCGGAAAACATATAAACCCAATTTTCTTGACACCCTGCCGAATGAGCAGGGGGATTCGCGATAATCTGAACAATACAGGAGAGAACAATTTCCAGGTATTCTAGCTTTAAGATGTCAAGTTTCAAGTTTTTTATCTGTTCCGAAAACCCAGTTCAATTGCAAGGAACTGAAAATTAAAATTATTACCGTCCGAATTACACCCATTAAAATACCAAAAGGATTCCATGAGTCCATTGGTCTACCATAAATCTGCTTTTGCAAGAACGGGACATTCCAAAATATTGGCAGGCCTTCTTGACCTTTTCTTCTCGAATATTTTGCCCCGACTTCCAAGGCTAATCTGAACAAGGAAGACCCGTTCCAAGTTTTCATAGCATCCAAACTTGGGATTCCAAGCAAGGTGGACCGAATGTGATGGTCCAATTTGGATAGTGCCTGCGCGTACGCAGTACATAGTTTCTGATGGGCACGCAGTGTTGGAGCAAGCAGGATCAGACAAGTGCGCAATGCATCATCAGATGAATCATTCAAAATATGTGCTGCAGCACAGCTAGCAGCATCTGCAAGCGCGTGACTATCATCAATGTTTCCGAGAATGGCAGCCACGAACGCGCCATATGCTTTCTGCAGACAAGCGGGACTGCTGCGGTTGCGGGCGAGCCGAAGAAATGCAGCGTCATCGCTGCATATATCTGTAGCGACACCTTCTGGTAGCAGCCCTATGTCGCCCATTCCAGATGGATTCTCAGCACTGCCAGCGCTAGATTCATCCCCTTGAATGGGTTCTGAAGCCAAAGAAGACAACAGATGTAGCGCCGCACATACATCTACTGCTGCTGAAGGGGATGCAAGTAACACACCTTGCTCTGCTGCCCGGCGGTGGGAGTTTAGCACGGTCAAACACTCCGACAAGATGAGCGTTGTGTATTGCGACGATCTGGGGATGTCAAGTAATTTCTCATCATTACTGCAGTTCAATTCTGCCTGTAAGCTTGCTTGTGTGCTGCTTCCCTGGAGCCGTTCAAAATTAACAGCACATAGTAGCTGAATGAACACATTGACAGTATCGCACACTGGCAATAAATTAACAAGGCTTCCTGAAGTGGCAACGGCTGCACCGCTGGCGGAGCCGCGTTGGGCTAATTGGATCGAATTTTTAACGTAAAGCAACACATGCATTCTGTCTGCATCCGGGATCGCTGCATGCGAAACAAAAGTGCTCAATATTTTCGCAACTGATGTGATTTTTTCGGGGCTAGATATTACGCAGGAAAGTAGTGCCGCAGTTTCCTTGAAACTGACAAATTTTTGGAATGTGTCACTAGGTGATTGTATGGTTTGAATCAAATCCAGAAAGTAGAC